CAATGGGCTGGGCCGTGAGGAGGCCGTGGCTGAGGGGGCGCGAAGGGCCTTGCTTGGCTCCATGCCTGGCTTGATGCCCCCTGGGCTGCTGGCAGGGCCACATCATCGGGCCGCCTCCCCCTGCCCTCGCCCGCCCTGGAGTACACTCTGGGGTCCCGCCTGGCCAATGGGCTGGGCCGTGAGGAGGCCGTGGCTGAGGGGGCGCGAAGGGCCTTGCTTGGCTCCATGCCTGGCTTGATGCCCCCTGGGCTGCTGGCAGCTGCAGTGTCTGGCCTGGGAAGCCGAGGCCTGACGCTGGCACCCGGCTTGAGTCCTGCCCGTCCCCTCTTCGGCTCCGATTTCGAGAAAGAGAAGCAGCAGAGGAATGCGGACTGTCTGGCAGAACTGAACGAGGCCATGCGGGGCCGGGCAGAGGAATGGCACGGGCGCCCCAAAGCAGTGCGGGAACAGCTACTGGCGCTGTCCGCCTGCGCCCCGTTCAATGTGCGCTTCAAGAAGGATCACGGGCTGGTGGGGCGAGTGTTCGCCTTCGATGCTGCTGCCCGTCCTCCAGGATACGAATTCGAGCTGAAGCTCTTCACCGAATACCCCTGTGGTTCCGGCAATGTGTATGCTGGCGTCCTGGCGGTGGCTCGCCAGATGTTCCACGATGCTCTGCGGGAGCCGGGCAAGGCACTGGCTTCTTCGGGCTTCAAGTACCTCGAATATGAACGCCGGCATGGCTCAGGAGAATGGCGGCAGCTGGGCGAGCTGCTTACCGACGGCGTCCGCAGCTTTCGCGAGCCAGCTCCCGCGGAGGCCCTGCCCCAGCAGTACCCAGAGCCTGCCCCTGCGGCTCTCTGTGGCCCACCACCGCGAGCCCCATCCCGGAACCTGGCGCCCACGCCGCGCCGTCGCAAGGCATCCCCCGAGCCGGAGGGCGAGGCGGCTGGGAAGATGACCACCGAGGAGCAGCAACAACGGCACTGGGTGGCACCTGGAGGTCCGTACTCCGCTGAGACCCCTGGTGTGCCCTCGCCCATTGCCGCCCTGAAGAATGTGGCCGAAGCCCTGGGCCACTCACCCAAGGACCCTGGCGGAGGTGGAGGGCCTGTGCGTCCAGGGGGCGCCAGCCCTGCAGCCTCCTCCACTGCCCAGCCGCCAACCCAGCATCGCCTTGTGGCCCGCAACGGTGAAGCAGAAGTCAGTCCCACAGCGGGGGCCGAAGCTGTCAGCGGGGGTGGCGGCGGCACTGGGGCGACCCCTGGGGCTCCCCTGTGCTGTACCCTGTGCAGGGAGCGGCTAGAAGACACCCACTTCGTCCAGTGCCCCTCGGTGCCCGGACACAAGTTCTGCTTTCCCTGCTCCCGGGAGTTCATCAAGGCGCAGGGCCCGGCCGGGGAGGTATACTGCCCGAGCGGAGACAAGTGCCCGCTGGTCGGCTCCTCCGTGCCCTGGGCCTTCATGCAGGGCGAAATCGCCACCATCCTTGCTGGAGACATCAAGGTTAAGAAAGAACGGGACCCCTAGGCTACCACTGCCTCCAGGCTACTGCCCTCTGCCCTTTTGCCATCCACCGCTGACGCGGATAAATTATTCCCTCCCCGACCCAGCCCAGTGCCACCCCTATCTGTGTACATACTCCCTTCCTCCACCCAGATGGGTCCCCTGGGGTAGATGCATTGTGGGTGGGGGGAGAAAGCTTGTGGCTCCTGTCCGAGGGGATATTTGGGGTCCCTTGGCCCCTCCAGTTTCCCTCTGTCCTTGGCTTGGCTTTGCTGCTGCTTGTAGTTGGGGGAGAGGTGCCCCCCTCCTCCTTGAGAAGGGACCTCCTGAAAATTCGCTCTTTATAAACGAGGCAAAAGCATTTTATTGCCCCCCCTCTCCCGCCCCCTTCTGCTCCTTCAATAAACCGAAAGATGGGTTGTTTTTTTTTTTTCTCTTCTTGGTCCCTTGGTTGTGTGAGATGCTGCGCCCCCTTTGGGACTGAACTAGTCCTGCGAGGGCGAAGACGTTGCGCGGTAGCCTCCAGGTGGCGCCCTGCACCCAGGCCGTCCCGCCGGCCGACCTTCTGCAAATGCGACCCACTGCTCACGTTTTAGCCATCGGCCCGTTTTCCAGATGAAAGAACTGAGGCTCAGAGAGGGGATGGCTCCTGTAGGGGAGCCACAGACAGTCTCGGGAGTAGATTACCCTTCTGTAGCTGGCCCATCCCCTATCTCTACCTGGAAGGTGGAGGACTCAGCGCCTACGTGGGGAGGGGAAAGAGGCAGAGGGCGGTTTCCTAGAAGAAACGGGCAGGGGGTTCTTGCTGAGTAGAAGGGAGAATTTAGGGTAGACTGCTAGAGGGACTACCTGAGGAAAGAGGAAATTTACCTCCACGGGGTAAACTAACAGGATGCCTAGAAACAACTTGGCTACTTCTCGCCTCTGGTGGTGCCCCAGAGGCGGACGTTTGGGAAGCCCCAACTGGACTCCTCGCCCTCGTGTCGGGAGACAAGCCCCTTCGGCGGCCACCCTAGAGAGCAGAGCGAAAGGCACTCGCCCCGCGGCTGCCTCTGATGTGCGCGGCCTTGTCCCGCACCTGTCCGGGTGGCTGATCATTAACCAGGACTTCCTGCTCGCTGGCGTCACGGGGCGGGGCCTGAGCGGGCTGCGGCAAAGCAGGGGTTAAGGGGAGGGGGCGGCCCCAAGAGCCCAGCCCCCACCCCTGCGGCCTCCCCCGCCAAGCCGAGGTGGAGAGATTCCGGGAAGGGGGAATGCGGGGCTCAAAGGCCCGCGGATGGACCGAGATAGGGAATGATTGTCCTACCACCACCCAGCACTGTCAGACAGCTCTGGGACCCGAGGTTGTCCCCAGATCTCCTCGGGAACCCAGGGTTCCCATCACCTAAATCTGGAGGCCTCTAAAGCCCTGCCCCATCAGCCCGGTTAGGCAGGGATCCCACCCATACTTGCATACCTATATGTCCTAACTCCCAGATATTAGGGATCCCTAGGGCGTCAACTTTCGCATCTGGAGGACCCTCTGTTCTTGGGCTGAGGGGTCCCATCCTTCCTCACCCCCCAGCCGTCAGCTCTCAGGTGTTCTGCCACCCCTGGCACTGCCAGCCCGGGCTCAGGGCAGGGCTGGGAAAACCACCCCTGATTAAATACACCAGGTGATAAGCCCAGGGCAAGAGAGACCTGGATGGAGCTCTGTGCCGGGGCTCCCCTCCCAGGCAAGCCTCTGGCTTCCCCTGACCAGCTCTGCAGACCCAAGCACTGGGTATCTCACCCATCCCCAAATCTTTAGAGCTGGAGGCCTCTAGACACCTGGCTCCTATGCTGCAGTTGGAGCTAAATTGCTGTGGAGGACACCTGGTCCTTTAAGAACAGCTGGTAAGTGGGTGGGGGGCAGGGGAGTCACCCCCAGCCTGGCTGGTGTGTATTCTAGATAGAGGTTGAGTTAACCATTAACAGAGCAGAAGGCCTGACCTGTGTGGGTGTGGGGGCTGGATCAGCCCCCCTTCCCCCAGTGCCAGGGTGGGGCCAGGGTGGAGGGGTTCTGGATTTATTTGGGAATCAGGGAGCAGGTGCAGAGACTTCGCGACAAACGGGAAACACAGAGAGACACTCAGGGAATGATGGGAGACAACAGAGGTGGGGAGGGAGAGATGCGGAGACCAGCTTACTGAAAGAGACAAGGAGACACAGGAGCCGGAGACCCAGCGAGACAGGGAGAGACTCGAGAGAACCTCAGAGATGAGGCAGACACAGAGAAGGAGAGACAGAAAAGAAAAGGAAATGGACAATATTCTGATAGGTTGAGCCAGACTGAGATGACAGATGAGATGCCAACAACAGAGACGCAAAAGAGGGGAGACTGAGATGCAGAGAGAAGGCAATAAAGAAGAGATGAGATAAAAAAAAAAAAGGAGAGATGAGAAAGACTGAAATCAGGAAAAGGCACAGGTGTGAACTAGAGTGATGACATCCTCAAACTCAAAAGTTCTGTGAGACAGGCAGGGAACGGGAGGAAGTGCAAGATTCTATCTGTTTGGGTCATTTGATCCCCAGTCAAGGCACCTCCTCCAGGAAGCCCTCCCTGACCCCCAGGCTGCATCAGGTGCCATTTCTGCACCCCACATATCCCTCTGTGCTCCCCCAGGCCCAGCCCTGTCCATTCTGGAGTGTTGCTGTCTGGCAAGCAGACTGTGAGCCCCAAAAGGGCAAGGCCAGGGCTGTCTTGATCACCACTGCATCCCCAGCATCACCCAGCACAGGGTCAGCTTAAGGGATGGATAGATTAATGGGCTGCTTCTCTTCCTCAACAAGTGTTTATTCAGCATCCACCATGTGACAAGCACTGGGGGAGATAATGTGGATGGAACAGGAAACAGAATCCAGCCCCTGCTCTCATGGAGCCGGCATTCAGGTGAGAGATGCAAACAGGACAATAAAATACGACAGCCGGCCGGGCACGGTGGCTCACGCCTGTAATCCCAGCACTCTGGGAGGCCGAGGTGGGCAGATCACGAGGTTGGGAGATCGAGACCATCCTGGCCAACATGGTGAAATCCCGTCTCTACTAAAATACAAAAAATCAGCCGAGCGTGGTGGCGCACGCCTGTAGTCCCAGCTACTCGGGACGCTGAGGCAGGGGAATCGCTTGAACCCAGGAGGCAGAGGTTGCAGTGAGCCAAGATCATGCCACTGCACTCCAGCCTGGTGACAGAGCAAGATTCTGTCTCAAAAA